CATGAAGTACACATTTGAAATAATATTTATATGCATGCTAACTTTTGTTTTTCCTTTCAGGTCAAGTTTAGGATTTCAAGAAAGAGGCGTGAGTTTGGAGTGCCTGTGACATTCAGTGATCGAAATGTGTCTGATGCTAAAGATGGCTTCGTAGAATGCCCTTCATATGACGATGATAGCTATGGACTCCTGAAGAAAGAGCTTGACAAAGGCATACAGGTAGATGAAAGTGATTCACTTAGCATAATATAGAGTTTAAGAAATAGAAAACATGTACCATGTTTCTATCAAGTTTTAGTATAAATCTACTAGCATCTCATCACGAATGTCATTCTCTGATTGGCTATGCAGTTCAGTATCTATTCTGTGATGGATAGTGAGTAGCATAGCAGTGTGCCCTTGCTAACAAAATGATGGCTCATGCTTCTTGACGTTTTCAAAGCGTCTGTGAAGAGGATTAAGATAAAGTTTTGAATGACTAGTAGATTTATGCTAAAACAATAAGATTAGTCACTCTTGATTTCTATGTGTGACAGTTGACTTGGGCTGTGCCCTCGTCAACTATCACACGATAGAAATCTCGACCTCATAATCTAATTGTTTAATAGAAACAGGAGCCGACAGGCGAGTGTTTCCACAACTTTTTTGAGTTCTCCCAAACTTTCACGGGTGTTTTTTATTATGCAATTAGATTAAGAGCTCAAAATTTCTATCGCATGATAGCTGACGATGGCGCAGCCCTCGTCAACTATCACATGTCAGTCAGACATGTCAGTCTCTTACTTTCCAATGAATACAAAAATGTAACAATAAAACCAGATGTTTCACTGGTTTATTTTTAATGGTACAGTATTTGTTTTGCGTGCCTCACTTCAACTCTCGAGAACTGAAATTGATGCTATTAAATTATTGGGACTAGAAAGGCTGAGCTAAAAAAAATTGTGATAACCGCTTTCGTTTCCATTACCGCTATGTTCTGCTTTCACATTTGCAGTCACAAATAACAAAATTAAAATATGCTAAGTAAAGTTTGATTTATATCAGATATAAAGTGTACAAAGCCAATTGCAATTATTATAATTATTATAATTATGTTTTACTAGTCTGTTACTAGTTGCCTAATGGTCTTGAGACCTCTAACAAAATTACATGTAGACAATCTTGTCCATTTCTTTTTCAGGCTGTTCCAGTATTGACAGATATAGGAAATCAAACAGAATGGTAGGATATACATTGTACCATACCCAATAATAGTATGTAATCAGATACCATTGTGCAACCTTAAGAAGGCTGATACAAAGCATACAGTAAATGATAAATTCATATAAATTAGGTAGACATGTTATATATGCTTTAGGTAAACTCTGCATTTGAGCCTACTGGCAAAATAGGCAGCACTTATCTCCAGCTTCCATCGAATGATGAGACTAGAAGTATTTCCATTCAACCCTAGATGGGATGCTAGTCCATCACAGAGTTTCACCTTCCATTTAACCTGCAGTGTACCCATTTATATACGTGGAGGGAAGAAGCACTCTGACAGGTGGTGAATGGTCCTTCAAAAACCATGGGTCTCACTAAATTTTAGTCAAATTTCATGGTTTTGCAGTCTTGTTTTCTCGACTGCATCTCGTGCTCTCTTGTTTTACAAAGCTTTCTTGAAGTCTTGATTTTTTGCAAGGCTTAAAAGGTCTCAAAGTCCCAGTTTGTTTCTTTGTTTGTTTTTATAAATGATGTCTGGACGTGTTAGAGTCTGAACGTATCTTGCTCGCATATAAAACGCTTTTAAGTCTCGGTCTCACAATTTAAAAAGTCACAATTTCTTGGTTTCATGAAGAAAAACACTAATCTTGCATTCTTTCAAAGTCTGACATTTACCATTTGCTACTCCTACTGTGAGATGAACTGTCTCTTGCAAGAACACAACACAATGACCCTAGCCAAGGCTTGAACCTAGACAACTCAGTCAAACGTCCAACGCACTAACCATTAACTACATGTAAAACAACTGTGCCTTACATCAAATGGAACTTTTAAATATTACGTGTCTAGGAGATGGCTGCTTGTAAATACAGCTGCAGTGACATTTTTAAGTGAATGATATGTCATTAGAGTGAGACAAAATACAAGCAGTTACATGTAAGTTGTGTCCTTCATTAATGCTCCATTATAGGAGAAAACCTTGTAATGCTGTGACACAGTACGTGGCAAGAACTCTTGAAGAGAAATCCAAAGAAGAGCTCAAAAGAACAACTGCTGATATAATCACTTTTATTGAGAAAGTTACCCCAAGGTAAACCATTACACTAATTTATTTTAATAATCACTTGGCGTTCAGAATAATAATGTGGCTCTCATAATCATTGACAGCCATGACAATAACTATTAGTAATAGTAATTGGACTGAGTGGAGTACAATTCAGGGAGTAATCGCACAAGTTCGATTTAACATTGCAAGCACGATTACTCCCTGAATTGTAGGACACAAGGTCCAACTACTAATTAATTGTATCTATAACAAATTTCAGAATTAAAAATGTCTTAAATTGAGAACTTCTTTTGAGCGAAAACATATGTAGCTCGTTTCATAAGTTGCAAAGAAAGCCATTAAAGTGTCCGTAATTGATGTGTGAATCATGTGGGTATTCAATTACAGGTGTCCTATTACAACAGGTTCAAATTGGATACCTGTAATTGGACACGCACGTGATGGCGCACCGATTACATGACAAATAAGCACGTGGAGAACCGATCACGATTGAGAATTTTGTTATAGATAAGATTAATAACTATGATTTATTGTCTACCAGAGGTGAATAGTAGTAGACATCAATATACAGTTAGCCAGATCAATTGTCACTTGTTGAAATAAGTTATAGCTAATAATGAGAAGGGTGTAACTTTTGTCGCCTCAACCTTGTATAAGAGAAGTCTCTCTACTCAACCATGTGCATTGGAGGATACTGGTGGATGCCCTCTGTTCCCATGGGGGTGATAAGGATCAATGATGTCCACTCAGAACAAGTATTTTGACCTTTCGTTTCCCATAAAATTTCTTGGCTTGTAAATATGATAATATAATTTTTTTGTAGAACTTTCCTTATAAGAGACCAAATAAACTCATGTGTTGTCAATGATGAACTTTTTGCATCAAGAAAACAATGATGGCCAGGGCTGTCAATAAGTTTTGAGTCACCTATAGCCTTGTTCTCCACACCCGTAGCAGCTTGTTACTTTGTGGGTGAATCCTATCAACAACAGGCAATTTCACCTGTAGCTTCTCTTTTCTTTTTTGTCAGCAACAACAAACTGGTTTATGTTCACTTGCAGGTTTGAGCTGGCTTTACAGCAGAATGAGATATTGGATGTGTTTTATGATGACTACTTATCCCTGGCAGATGATGAAACTACTTTTGGTGCAAAATCAGACAACTATTTAAAGGTTTGTATCCAGTTGAACAATAAGGTTACTTCATAAGACCGCGGTCCTGCCTACATATAATACCTGCTGCCTTGTACGCTGTTACAGATTGACTATATTCTCTTGCATGTTGTCACTATTTTAAGGCATAATTAATTATTGGGAACTCACAACTTGACCAGTCCCCAGTTTCAATATCTCAGTTGGTAAAGCACTGCACCAGGTCATAAATTTAAATTCTGTTCAAGCCTGAATTTTTCAGGCTTGTTTTCACATAACTGGAATGGCCTTTTTTCTTGATAGGAATACCAGTCCTTTACTGATCTTCAGTACAGCAAAGAGAAAACGATCACATACATTCAGTGGCATCCTGCTATCAAAGGTATGTAATGAAAATAGATATAATTGTTTTAAACTTTGTTAAGCAGTATTTCGTTAAAAAACAGTATTGAATTTAAAATAAATTATTTTTCACAGGGATTATTGCAGTTTCTTGCGGTGAAGGTCTCTCATTTGATGACAGAGTGGATCATTTTTCTCGCATTCTTATGACATCGTCCCTGGTTCTGATCTGGAGTTTCTCAGATCCAATTCATCCCCTGGTATGTGTTAACTACATGTACAGTTAAACTTAAACCATTCATCAAACATTTCTCGTCTTGGTTATATTAGTATTAATGATAAACATTTAAGCAGTGCTTTCAAGAAGCTGAAATTGCGGGCTGGCTGCCCTGACTCAGGATGCAGCACCCATCAGAGAGCAATGTGCAAGGCTTAGCATTTCCTGGAGGACAGTCATTCACAGACTGAGATAACCCTATGTGTCTGTTGCAACTAATCATCGTTAAATCCTTGAAGCAGCCCTCACCAGTAAACTGGGGCGGATATAGGATTTTAGAAAAGTGGATTCAGTGGTCCCCTGTGACGGGGTCTGGGGGTCTCCTTCTGCTGGAAATTTTTTAAAATTGAGATCCTTGGCATGTAATCATGTTACTTTTCATTAATTTAGGGGATTTGACAAACTCCCCATCAAAACCCCTTAGATCAACCCCAGAGTAAATCAACATCAATCCTAATGGTTTAATTAATTTTCAAATTTTTTACTGAATGAAACATTTTACATTCTCTAGTTGTACATGGTCTTCCTTAAGACAGTGAAGGGCCTGTGACAGTTTTTAAAAATCCGTAACTTCCAAGCCTTGGAACTCAGACTGATTTATTTCTAATTTTGATTGATTTTCAGGCACTACTTGAGGCTCCTGATGATATTTTTTCCTTCAAGTTTAATCCTTCTGATCCAAATATCATTGCTGGAGGGTGCATAAATGGACAGGTAATGTCATTTAATATTTCCCGACCCTCCCTGCATGATTAACATATAGTTTCTCCCTGCAAAACTGACCCACCGTTGAATAGAAAGGTGATGAGAATAAAGAAAATTATCAATGAGGGGATACTGAAGTTTTCAGAGTACACCAAGAAGTACAACTGGTCATCTAGATGTACTGCAAGTTTAATTTTAGTCTTCATAATTTTTTCCTTGCAAATATGATTTGGTTGTTTTCAGGGCTCGAAAAAACCTTAAATTCCAGCTTGCCCAACGGACAAATACAAAATGTAGCTCTCAAATTTTGCTCATCATGGGCAAGTCTTAGTTGGCTTTTTAATGATATAGTTGACAGACAACTTGCCTAATTCCTTGCAAATCAGGCAAGTGAGAATGAAAAGTTACTTGCCTAGAGGGAAAATGTACTTGTCACGGATGACTGGAGGACACTTTTTTCAAGCCCTGGATTTTGTAATGCTCTGTTTTCATTTTATTTAGATTGTTTTATGGGACATCACAAACCACAGTGACAGATTACGTAGTCACAGACAATCTCATGGCCAAAGCAAGAAGAATTCTATGAATACTTTGGTGAGAAAAACAGCTGATGAAGAAATCTGAAAACCTTTTTTAGGATTGTTGAGATCATTTATTTTCAAGTTGAAGATTAGATTTTACTAGAAGTGAACACATGAAATATCATATATTTGAACTGCAGAGAAAGGTATGAAGACATGACTGACCATCGCAGTTATACAGGTACATTACGAACGCACAAAGTTGCGAGTGACCAGTTGGTGGAGCGTTGCACCAGTATCACAGAGGTCACGGGTTCAAATCCCATTCAAGCCTGAATAATTTTTTTTCAGGCTTTAATTCTGCAACTACTTAGTTGTGTGTATAACTGCAATGATCAGTCATATCTTCCGTAGGTTTAACTCAGTCTTCAATTTCTGTTTGACATCAACTCAGAGTGAAAATAATGAAAACACCCCCCTCCCACAAAAAATTCCCACTTTCATGAAACAGTTTTCCTAACAAGAGTCTTCAGTTGAAATTTCACCTCTGGTGCATGTTCCCCTTTAAATAATAAGATTACGTTAAGAACTTACATGTAGGGAAACTGTGTATCAATTTTAAACAACATTCTTTTATGTAACCTTACAGCCTGGATTTGAAGATGAATCAAGCTTTGATCGATCACCCATTATCAGATATTGTGCGGTGTCTTCAATTGAACACAGCCACAAAACAGTTGTCTCAGACATCATATGGATTCCTGATCATATGGAGGTATTAATAACTGTCATTGTTTGTTTGTGAGTCACCTGTTGCCTTGATCTTAACAAACTTTTTGCAGATCTGCCAGTGAACTCTGTTCAATAACGGCCGGTCTAACTGGTAACAAGCATACTCATCTGTACCAGGTGTTACAGGGTATGGCCTTTAACAACATCCCTGACTTCATATGACTAAGCTGCTCTGGTTTCTCTTAGATTGGACGCATGGGTGTTGTTGTTGAAAACAAATCACAGCAGTGCAGTCAGTTGATGTCATGTGCTGCAGATGGGTGAGTGAGAGAAACTTTCAGAGTCAAGCACATTATTGTACTGTCCAAGCAGTTCTAAGCTCTATGATGGGTGTGCACCTTTCCATATTTAAAGGAAACATAATTATGCATGAAGCAGAAAGACTGTATTTCTAAGTTAATTATACTCCACAGGGCTCGAAAAAAGTGCCATCCAATCGTGTGGGACAAGACAATTTCCCTTTTGGGCAAGTAACTTTTCACTCCCTCTTGCCCAATGGGCAAGTTGTTGGAAACTAAATCATTAAAATAGCAAACTAAGATTTGCCCAGGACAAGCAAACTTTGAGAGCTACTTGTTCCAAGGGCAAGCTGGAATTCAAGTCTTTTTGAGCCCTGCTCTATACACACCCTGCGTTAGATCCCCTGATTTATTTCAGGCTCCTTATGTTCTATACAATACAACAAGTTATTGCCTTTTCAATTTTAAGGCAAAACAGGGTCTTAAGTCTTGGTCTCAATTCGAAAGCCAAAAAATGTATTGGGCTTGCAAAAAAATGCTAGTCTTACCTTCTCACAGTCTTGCATTTACCATTCACGACACCTACTGTGAAGAGGGTCATACAGGGGGGCTCTCTGGCACAGTTCACAAATGGATAAAATTCAGGATCACGGTTAACGGAAATAAAAATTTTGTTTTCCCAAATCACAAAAATAGGCAAGTAAGATACTCTTTTAACAACCTGTTTTTACAACAGAAACAGTGTTTCAAGAAAACAAAATCGCAAATGGTTAAGTCAAGGCTCCATATTGCAAATCGCAAGTCACTCTCCATAGACGACTCTAGCCATTTGGAAAACTTGTGTCTCAAAATCACGTAGAATAGAGTGGTAAAATCACGAATGTCGGTTAATAATTCAGGTTCTTCATGGGTCACACAAAACCTTCAGGTCAGGAGTCATGAAGAATAATTTCCTAAATTCACATTTCACGAAAAATAAAATCAGCTAATCATGCATCACAAGAATACCCCTGTATGACCCTCAGTGAACATTGTAGACTAGTGGGATCTTATATCTTCTTTACAAGGGAACATCAAATGAGAAACAGAAAACACGCTAGGAAAAATTATATTGGCCACAGGAAAACTGAAGGCAAAGGGATTTTGTCATTCTGTCAAATCTTTTCACCTCTTGATTGACTTCAAGGATCCCAAGAGAGAAATAGGGAATAAAAACAATATTACTTTCTTCTAATTGCAGCAAAACAGCTTCTTTACAGAAAACCTGTGTGTTTGTGTTTTGATTTCAGCACTGTCCTTGTTTGGGACACCCGCCCTAGTAAGTCTGCGGCACCTGCACATGCAGCTGGTCAAAACCCAGCTGGAACTCTTCCTACATTTAAACACTTGGATTTAACATGGAAGCCTGTCCTTAGGGTAATGTACATGTCATGGAATTTTGTGTGTTTTCAGTGCAGTAATACATTACTCCAAATACTTCCATCCACAGGGGTTTCTTTAAGGGCTGGGCACTGGGCATATTGACCGGCTGTGAGGATGATTTTGCCCACCTGGTTTGATCTTCTAGAGGAACGTCTTATTCATAGAGAGGTTCAGTTCAAAACATTTTGCCCGCCTGTGAAAACCAGTTGCCCTTCTGCTGATATCATTAATAACACCAAGACTTGCATCCAGGTGGCTGTCTCTTAGGTGGTTTGGATGCCACTGTTGGCTCTTTTAGGGCTGTTTTTGACCATTCACCAAGGGTATTCAGGACAGGATAACAATGCTTTCACCCATCGAACTATGCTTTACTGCGGCATCATAGAAGCCTGAGTTATTTAAGAATTTCTGATGAAAACATGCATGTGCAGCATACTATGTATAGTGACAGTGTCTGTTGAAATTTATGGTCAGAGATAAGGGACCACAAATTGATGCAAAAAAACAAGTTAGAAAATGTCCAAGTGCATGTATGGGGCATGATTTGAAAAATTTATGTACAGCAAGGCTCATTAGTATGTATGATGGAGCTTGTTTTCCTTTTGGTGGTGTTTATTGTTTATTTGTAACACTGCCTGGTCCCAGAGATTTACTCTCAATAGAACTTGTTTTGAATTGCATCCTCTGGAGGCCAAATAGAGCTTTGAACTACACCCACATTGGTACCAGTGCAAACATACTCATTGTAAATTATGCTGTTACAGAGGTTGCTAATGTTAATGATGTACAGTGGCAATGTGGTTGTTTTGACTTCAGGTGACTGTGTCTCATGTAACGGGTGCTGGTGAGTTTGGACCAAGTGTGTTCAGCATTTCAGAAAGGCAAGGCGCAAGAACAGCAGGTGGTTAGTAAAATAAACTATTGTTTGATGTCTTTCAGGAGTAATGCCATTCATAGTCTGTGTTGTGTATAGTCTCCCATAAGCCTGTGAACAGGGTCTCTAGTAGAGGATGGGAGAAAAGAAAGCAGGAGAGAGAGAGAGAAGGGATGTTCCAACCACCACCCAATTCTCCTCTTGGCCACTGCACCCTCTGCCAGCTCCTTCTCGGCCTTTCCAGCTGCGGTCAGACCCTTCTAGCTGGAGCCTGTTCACAGGCTAGTCTCCCGTGCACTGTCATAATTTATCCAATAGGTACAGCCATCTAATGGTTTTAGTGCCAGAATCTGGTCAGAACAACCTTGGGTGAGCACCTGGCACATCTACAATGGAACCCTGTTAATCCGGTCACCCACACACCACAAAATTCTGGCCTTAATGGGGTGGCCGTATTGTAGTGGTTCTTTAAATAAGAAAATTATTGACTGGGCTTTTGTTTGGGCCAGAATAAAGTGGCCGTAATATCAAAGTGATCGCATTAACAGGGCACGTAAGGTGGGGTTCCACTGTAGTTATTATGTTGCATTCTTGGACAATACACTTAACTCATAACTCTCACAAAGTAACTTATAGAGGTTTACAGAATACCCAACTCTTTAATTTTAACAGCAAAATCAAGTGAAGAAAAAGAGGCAGGTGGGATATCCAATATATCCTCCAGTATATCTAAAGGCAGGGACCAAGGCAAACCTCTGGAGAATGTCAGCTCCAAGTTTTTTATTGGTACTGAGGTGAGTCTTCAGTCAAGTAGTGTTATACACTCATTAGGGTAAAAAAGGGGAATAATCCAATATTATTTTACAAAATGTGTCTGTCCAGAATATTTCCATTCCCTCATAGACGGTTTTTCTGGTTTGACTCTCCCTCCCCTCTGGAAAGTTCGTTTAGCCACATACGTTCATTTAAACAGTTTGGTTTTTGAGAACTAACAACATACTCAAGCCACATATGGCACCGGGCCAGAATAATTATTGAACCCAGGCCACACTGGTGGGAGGCAAGCGCTCTCACCACTGCAGCATCCCTGCTATCTGTATATCTGTTTCTGTAAAAATTGTAAATATGCGAGTCATAATAATAATGAAGTTGTAAAAGAATGTGGATGAAACCTCGAACTCTATACATTTAGTGCCTTGTTTTTTTCTTTTTTCTTTTTTCATTCATTTAGCAGTGGATTTTTCATTTGAAATGATGGCGCTTAAAAATTTTTGGTCGGGTTTTTTCAAAAATTCTGAGTATACGATGGAAGGAAATACTCAAATTTAAATATCCCTAATCCAAAAACCTTTTTACACCAAGGGAAGAAAACTGTTTTGACAATGAAAGAGATTTCTCTAGTTTCTTTTTCTTGTAATTCGTCGGGAAATAAGAGCGTTTGTTAAAGAGGCTCTCGGGGTAGAAGTACAAATACGTTTGTCTCAAGTGATTTTATGTTGATTTTAGGAAGGTGACTTGGTCTACATGGATTGGAAACCTGAAAAGGATACAGACAGCGGGAAAATAGTTTGTGAGTATGGCTTGAGTACATCAGCTTTTCTTGGCTTGTTGCTAGTTATGTGGCTATTCTCTGTGAGGACATAAATGGCAGTCGAAATTTTAGTCGTTTATCAGGTGTCTTTTGAAATTTTGGCCATTTGTTGGATGTCAAGCAGGATTCATTGTGTCCGTGTGTCAGATGCCAGTTAAAATTTTGGCTGTTTCTCTATTTTCAGTAAGTTTTAAATAATTTAGTAGTTGAATGTCATATGTTGTCAGTTGTCATATGACCCTTTTCAGACCCCCTTTTTGGCTATTTACAGTAAGGCTGAAATTTAACCACTGCTTCTGGTTTCTCTAGACTAAATTTCAGTCTAAATGGTGCTTTTAAGACAGTACAGTGTTGGTGTAATTTTTCCTTCTTTCAATCAATCAGTCAATATATAAACTTTATTAAAGTGTCTAAAACGTCTAGTCAGCCCGGAGGCCGACTAATCGTGGACACTCCCAATAAAAGTACTAATAAATTAAGTTAAGCTAAGTTAACTTCCAAAAGACGTTTAGTTTACTTTTCTTTGTAGCTCCCCGACCTGAGCAGGTGTGGGCAGCACATGATGGTCCCATCACCACCCTACAGAGGTCGCCATTCTTCAGAGATATCATTCTCACTGTTGGGGGATGGACATTTGCAATTTGGAAAGAAGGCGTGACGGTAGTAGAAGTGTTTTTATTGTTTGAACTAAACGATGAGTACCATTGAATAAATGTTCCTGTCTGGCTCGAATGACGAGCAACCATTCCAAAATTCTGCAACGAACGACGTTCCAATGACGGACAATTCTCTTAAGTGGAAAATTTACGTTGTGAGTGACTCGAATGATAGGGTGGTTCTCAAAGCGTCCCATTTTCATGTATCAGCGACAAGCACTTTGCTAAAATGGTAATACTTACAGTTTCCCCAGTTAACACTTTGGTACTGATCAATTCTCTAAGTAAAATTTTGTAAGTAAACCGTCTGCTTTTTCAGTTTAGTAGATACACACTAAGCATACCTCATATGGTATATATAGATACCTGTAGTTTTTGTCATTAGTACTACTATCCTGCTCTGTTTTGTTCTGTTTGCAGAGTGGACCACTTCTTCAATCAGCGAGTCATCTTATGAGACTAACACGAGGGCACTGGAGTCCCTCAAGACCAGGTACAACTACTGCTATGTCACACGTCACAAAATATCTACTCTCTACAAAATTACCCCACAACTAATCGAAAGCTGAAAATAACAATTTGCTGAGATGGGAAAACTTCAAAGATGTAGTACGAAGCTAAAACAGAAACAGGATGGTTAATATTGAAGGAGATTGAGATGGATTGAGAATGACGAACTTTGTTCACCATTGATCGTTAGCCTGAGAAATGTGAGGCTAGACTTGCGTACAAGTCGAGCTGCGAAAGCTCGAGCACGGAAAGCGAAAAACGTCTGCAACGCTCGAAACCTGAGTACTACAAATGGATAGGACTTTGAAAAAGTCTAGGACCCAGGCCACACGACGCCGGAGGAATTTGACCGGGGGGGGAGGACTCCCATATGGAATGGACGGGGATGCTCGTCGTCTCGCTTAGGGGTGTAAATTTCGGAGTTTGGTCTCGCTTAGGGTGTTCTAGTCAAAATGTTATCATTTTTAGCCGTCAAGGTCTCGTTAAGGGTTGCACGCGAAGAAATAACAAAACAGAAAGAATTTGGATTCTTTATATTTACTCAATTCATATAAACAAATTCGCCATCATTAAAAGTCAATGTACTTTTTATTTGTCTGTTTTATAAACTGGTCTCTTTTAGGGGTCTGCATAAGCTTCGGCCACGCCCAGATTGGTCTCTTTTAGGGGTTAAATTCAAAATTTCCGACGAGCATCCCCGTCCACTCCATATGGGAGTCCCCCCCCCCCCGGGGGGAATTTGAAAACGGAGGTTTCACTCTGAAAACGCATCAATTGTCTACCGTCCACGGTACGCCGGAGAAATTTAAAAACGCAACAATCACCGGTCATTTTGGATTTGTGTTTGAGGAAAACTCGGGCAGGGGAATTATCATGATTATCGTAGCCTGATCGTTTTTCGAAAAGCTTCGTTTTCAAAATGTTTTCCGTCCACACTAAAACGCAAAGTTGGCTTTTTCGAATTCCTCCGATTTGAAGAGCGTTTTCGAAAAGCTTCGTTTTCGTGACGGATTAGTGTGGACACCTAACCGTAGAAATAAACCTCCGTTTTCAAATTTCTCCGGCGTATTCCTTGCAATACTCACTTTGGAGGGTAGTGTGGACGTTTAGCGATAATTCCAATGGGCCATAAGGTTTTTCCGATCGCCTGGACTGGAACAGACAAACTTTTACTTCTTTTTAAAATTATTTCTGTTTTTTTGCGTGAAGTTAGCACCACATAAATTCATCATTCATTACAAAGCCTTCTCTTCCCTTTTCAGGGGTATTTTTCATCACGAAGACCGACGGAAATGTAGACGTGTGGGACCTACTGGACAGGTGATTAGCTTCTGTTTTCTCCTTACAATCTCAATAGATTTTCAAGCATCCAGGTAATGAGATTAAAAAAAATCATCAACTAGGAATTACTGTTTTGATGCATCACCAAATTCTCAGAATCCATTTGAAGAGAATTCATTGAAATGACTAAGGAGAATTTGTATTCAAGTTGTTTTGTTGTTGTCAGGTCGCACGAGCCTTCCTTGACTCAGAACGTTACTGCTGCTCCCATCACCACAATTTCACCTCACCAGGTTTCAAGTAAGTGCGATAAAGGGCTTGTATGAGTCTCATATTCAAACATTCTACGCGTAAAAAAGCCAAACACATGTAAAAATACAAAGAGTACCACACAAAAGTACTGCTCGATTGCTTCAATACCAGTGGTTGCTCACTGGGGCTTTCCAGTTCCTGAGCATTGTACTCTAAAGTTGCATGCAAATTGAACTGAACTAGATCTACAGCTTTAAAATGTTTTATAGTAAAAGGTTTTTTTTTTCATTAACATGAAAGTTGAGTGATAAAACTCATAATAAACAGGGATAGTTTACAGTTTACGCCCCTTGATCAGAAACGTAGAAGCGCTTTCATCGGATTTGCCCTTAGTCAAATTTTCCTTATGTAAGAAAAAAGTTGCGTTTTTATTTCAATCGTCCAACTGGCATATGGGAATTGTATTCAGTAGCAGTATTGAATGTTGACTCCGTAGAGATAATGTCGCTTTTACTTAGGTAAACAACAGCTGCTAGCTGTAGGTGACAGTATGGGGACACTGCATGTGATGGAGGTTCCGTGGAATCTCAGGCACCCATCAGCTAATGAGGTGAACTCTCTTTACTGATTTCTCCACATTCTCTGTAATATTATTCTTCTCGGAAGAAGTTAGTTTTTCAATCAGGTTTTTCTTGATTAGATTAGCTCCCTTGTCCACATAACATATTTTCCCTCCTCCCCCTCTACACTGTTTTGTTCCCTGCATGAAAGGACATCTTCGGAATGGGGACTTTCCTGTGTAATTGTCAGAACTCATAACAATCAATTTTTCTATTCTTTAGTTTTCGACGGTTTAAGGTAGCTCTGAAATCCCTCCAAAGAAAGTCGCGGGGCTTAAGGTTAAAATGGAAGGAGCTTTTTTCAGTCTACACTGTGGCAATAGTAAGCTGTTACACCAAGAAAAAAGTTTTTGATACTATTATTTTTGCATCAACTGTATCACAGTGGTAGTTTTACCATTTGCTTTCAGCGAAAATAGCGCACTGATAAAGATTAAGCTACAGTCGGTTGAAGTATTGCTGTTTTTGACGTTTGTTAGGCAAATGCTATGGAGAACTTCTTCGAACGAGAAGTAAAGCGACTTGCTTTTGTGGAGGAAAGAATGAAGATACGAGAACAGGAAAAGAAACAGCTGGACGCTGAAGAAAGCAAACGGCAACAGGTTAGTGATAAAACCAATGCACAAAACTACCTTGAATCGAATTAGACATTAAAATAATATTTTACTAAGATATAAAAACGCCAAAGAGACAGTAATAATCTAAAAAGAAGCAAGGATGGTTAATACTGAGCGAAATTGAGATGGATTACGTGTTGTGTTTTTGGACGACACTGTATGTTGGGGGCAATCTTGCCAACGTACTCGAGATAACCTAGTCTCTTCGCAGCCGTTATCTGGGTCGTCACCCAAATGCCTCTCTTCAGTGTTTGTATGTGGCTGGGACCGTTACCAAGTGTCCGTTAGCGGAGGTTCGACTGTATACTGTTTAGTAAAATTCACTTTTTTTTTTTTTCTTTATTTTTGTTGAATGCAACAGGAGGGTAAACGTCAAGAGGAGAGTGACGCAGATGTAGAGGTCCGACAAAGAATGGTAAGATTTAGCGGGTTCTTGTTACTACGCTTTGTGATTGGTTAAAAAAAAACCCTCGCGACACCTACTTGACCAATCAGATACAAGACCAAACCATACGCGTGTGGGTCACACGCGTTTCCCGCCCTTAAAACCAGTCACGTGTATTCGCTTCGAGTGCTCATTGGTTCATCAGATTGTCTTCGTTGGTTCCGATTGGCTATTTAATTATAACTTTTTGTCTCAGCACTGAACTGAAAGTTGCTCTTTTGCAGTCCGTTCTCTTTAGCAATTGCCTTTGTTCTGTCGTCGTCCCCGTTGAAAATACATTTAAGAAGGCTCTCAACGTTTTCCCTTTTGACTATTAATAATAGCTGTTTTTGATGGAATTGTGCGAAAAAAATTAGCATAACCTGCAAAAGATTATCTTGCGTTCAACTGGATCTGAATGAACTTCTGAAATACGTACTTAAATCCCTTAAACGGCTGTTATTAACTTTGGAATATCTCTCAATCTTTTTACAGTTTCTATTTATGCCATGTTTTTTTTAGGAATATCAGGAGTATTTACAGATGGAGAAACAATTACTTGAAGAACTTGGCATAAGAGAAGAATCTGACGATCTTGAAGGAACTTAATATTAACCTGCCAAACCAAGATTACGAAACGATCATTTTTTGAAAGTTTATGGCAAGATTTTTAGTCTGATAACAAAGAACGCGTTTGGTTACCAAATGACGTTCTGATGTAAATTGTGTACTTTATCAGTATTGCTGTATATTTTATGTTTCAGTTGTGTGTTTTCAAATCCTTGTCTTTGTGCATACGTCACCTATTTTCTCTGCTTATTTGTACGCAGCCTAATCAAATCCTCGAACTCCGAAATACCCGAAAAGTTTCCGATTATTGTATCAACTAATCAAAACATTGCACGAGCAATTCCGAACTCCCCGGACGTACTCACGTCAGCTTCACGTCATAACATTTCGTCTTGTTGCTTAGCACCTCTTACGCAATCCACGGG